GAGCTCCATACATTGGTGTTAGTTCTGCACGTTTGATCACTTTCTGAGTATCATGCAGAAGGAACATGCTGAAAAGAACTAATCTACCATACACTGCCACTGTGTACAGAGTGGAACCAGCCACAGTGGTAGGTGGAATAAACATCGATCCTAGTGATGCTGCGAAGACAAGACCCAGGCCCATGCCCAGGGGTGCTCCCATGTTCAGGAACTTCTCACTGGGTGCACACATGGCCACGGTGGACAGGCCGCCCACGATGCCAGCGGTGCACCATGCAGCTTTGACAAGGAGAGGGCCGCCCAATAGGGTCAGAGGTGCCACTACTGCACCCATCACACCAGAATGGAGCAACCAGGCAAGATGCTTTTGGCCTGGATGTTTTCATATGGTATGGATCTCACCAGCATTCCAGCTCCAATCATGGCTGCAAAAGTTGCACCAATTGTCACCCAAGAGCCTCTCATCATGAAGTTCATGAGAACAGGACTTCTAGCTACTGCCAAGGCAGACAAAGCTGTTAAACCAATACTTCCTGCCAAGTACATCTAGGTGGAATGTATCCTATCTCTCACGTATTGAGGCCAAATTACAGCCTTTTCAATCACTCCTATCTCGTTAGACATTCCCAAGCCATAGTAGCACAGTGCTCCAAGACCAACTGCCCCTCCAGCAACAATATATCTTCCTAACTGTTCAATTTTATATGCTTTTTATAAGGATTTTTTTTGTTGTTGTTGTTCCTCGAACGCCTTCAGGGCACTTTTGGCCAGCAGGAGAGTTGTGAGGTTCGAACTCCAGCAACCTGAGGCTGGCAGCTTTGTGGAAGCAGCCACTTAAAGGCCTGAGCTAGGGCCAGGCCCCCTATGCTTTTTCCATTGATGGTTCCAGTGCTGCCTCTTTGAGTTCTTGGGCAGTTTTCCCACTGCGGATTCCAAGTCTTGACCTGGTGGCATATTCCCTGCTGGGTGTTAAGAGCCATTGATTCTTTGTGATTGAATTCTTCACAGTGGGAGAGGAGACCTTGGTAAATGCTGGGTGGAACACCCTAGAAGGTAGTGTGGGAGGCACACAAGCCTTGTAGCCAGCATAGTGATGTCCTGGTTCACCAAGAAGATCTGAAATGCTCAGCTCAGTGCCGGGTCTCTTCCTTGAAGGTCCCCTGCCCCCGCTTGTATAGTTTAAACCATATCAATATGTCTTCCCCTTGGGCCTGGGGAGCTAGCTCAGTAGAATAAGCGCTTGCCTGGCAAGCACAGGGTTCTGAGTATAATCCCCAGTACTGCAAAAAAAAAAAAAAAAAAAAAAAGAAAGAAAGAAAGAAAGAAAGAAAGAAAGAAAGAAAGAAAAAGAAAATTCCCCTTGAAACTACTTAGACTATAAGCTTTCAGAAGTCTCATATCACCAACTCTGTGGCAGTGGCCTTAAGTAAGTGTTTATGAATAAAAAACTGAACTGGGAAGACCAAAGTATGGATAAGAACCCATTGCTCTGCTCCCCTGCCACTCTGGAGACTCAGGAAGCTTGTTTACCGGGAGTCCCTTTGAGCATCTTGCTTTTTTGGATAAGTGTTCACAGCCCTGAGGTTTTGGGGGAAGGTGGTCAGGATGTTACTCTCACAGCTGGCTGCCACCTGCCAGACCTGCCTTCTGTCTCCCCTCAGTAGCTTTCAGGATTCATCATCTTACAGGTGGCCCACAGTCCCCATCTGAGAGGGGCTTATTTTTCTCTTTTGTTTCATATCTCGAAAATTTCAAGGAGATAATACTAGCAAGCATTTAGGGAGAGGTTGCTGTGTAGCAGGCAGTGCCTCTGCATTTTTCCATTATATGTTTTGACTCATTTAATTCTCACAGGAGAGACCAAGGATATAGCTCAGCAGCACAGTGCTGGTCTGGCAGACACAAGGTCGTGAATTCAATTCCTGGTACCTAAATAAATTATTAATTCATTAAACTAAAAATAATTCTTACAACAGGGATCTCCATTTTCAGACACAGAAACTGAGGTCTGGGTGAAAATGGAGCAGTCACCCTTAGACACTGAGTAGATG